AAGAGATGAAAGGAAGCCCTTCGGATTAAATAAGATTTAGGAAATAAAAGGATTAGTGCTAGACAAAAGCTAGATTTAGGGGTTTATTTAACCAGAGCAGTGTGGCATGATGGGATGTGGGGCATCAGAAAGGAGATGAAAGGCAAAATAAAAAGACGAATGTGGGAGGTAGTAGAGAGGCAAGGAATCAGCACAACATCTCCAAAAACCCCTCACAAATCTTCTTATAATTGAAAATGGCACACACAAAAAAAGTAGTTTTCATTAGCAAGCCCAGCTTCTTTACATAGTAACAAGAAGTGTTACAATGACGAGAAATCTTCTGTGATGGGGCAGTCAGATCAAATCACTGCCACAGGAGAGAAGAGCCTATGTTGTAAGCTTGCTTGCACTCAGAGATTAGATATCTGATGAGGTAAAATCAGATTTCAGTAAATCTATCACCCTATTAGATTCATAATTCATGGTGCTTTCAAGTAGGGACTGCTGAAGGATCATTCTTGTTTAAGAGATCTCCTTTTGGAGGTCTCTAGCAAAGTTGATGGTAGTCATAGAAATTAGGGGTATGTACGTGTTGGTGAAGCAATGAGCGTAGAAACCCTCCAGGCAGCATCTGTTGCAGGGACATTTAATCTTGTAGCTGAAAATCCAGGACTGATATGTTTCCTGAGCTCAACTTCTCAACTTCTGTCTGAATGATCTATACGTGACCATCTATACTATTAGGGAGGTATGGAAGAAAGGATATAGCAAAGAATTGACTCGAATGGATCAGTTGTTCACTTAGCGACCCCACGCCCCAAGTCTGCTAAAGACAGTAGAGAGGCTACCAGTGGGTTTGGCTCAGACCTTAAGACAGCATAGTCAGGTAACTGTGGATGCTCTTGGCTTCTAGCAAGTGCTATGTGGAGAAAATACTACCTCCTCTGTTCCAAAGATGCTGTTACTCCAAATGTCCAGGACAGTTATGAACCTTTCTAATGTGATAGAGGTTATCAGAAGAAAAAATGCACCTTTCCCCCTCCTTCAAATCTTCAAAGGGAAATTGGATTCTTTTCTTGCCCAGGTGCAAAAGAAAACATATATTGCAGCCTCATTTTAACAGTAGGAAGATTTTTACAATCATAGATAATTATGACTGGACTAGGAAGTTTTATAATACTCGGTGGATGTTCAAACTAAAGTAATCCAGATTTCTTCTTCCGGGGTTTCTGGAAAGACATTAGCATAGAAATGCTCATTCAGACAATATTCGCTTGTCCCTTTTTCTGTTGTCATACAGGAATGCTAATAGGGTTAGAAAATAGGTAATAGGGTTAACAAAATATTAAAAAATTAGGAAATACTTTTATTTTATTTTCTTGGTAACCTTTTCTGTGGTACTTTGTGGTTTGGCTCCTAGGAGAGCACAAAGTAGTTTTTTCACTGAACTCTGACCTGAGTAAGAAATCTAGATATATATAGTAGATTTAAATTTAATTTTTAATTCTTCGTGTCTTTTGCAGTGCTCTTTGTGAAAGGACAGGTGTTCCAGTTGGTTGGCTTTGGATGTAAATGCAAATTTGACTGAAAATGTACAGAGAGCGCCTAAGAGACATTTTATTTGTTCAGTAAAATGACCTTCAATATACTGAGTAAATAAGAAAATCTTAGTATTTTTTTTTAATCTAAATTACCCCTTTCATTTATTTTATTATTGATTTTATCCAGTTGAATGAAAGCAGTTAAAATCTGTTTTTCTTCATAAGCTGGTCACCACTTTATTAATACAAAAGTAATATGGTCCCCATGCAGACATGATTTTCAAAGGTACTTAGATGTCTGCTTGGATTTTCCAAAACACCTAGCTGGATGAAGTGTCTAATAACTCATGATGTCAGGGAGCATAAGTCAGCATCTGTAAGTGCTTAGGTACCCTTGAAATTGGGGTTTTCAAAGTTTGCTTTAAATAACTTGCCTGCAGCCCCAGACTCCTTGACTGTGTCTTCCCACTTCCAAGCAAATGCAGTCGAGTCCAAGGGGCAGAAATACTTCTCTTTGGACCACCCTGCACCATAAGTCTTTCCTGGTCTCTGAGTTGCCTTCATTGTGATGTGCTTGCTTTTGAGGGCTTGAATTTACAGCCTGAGCAAATGTCTGGTAACAGTAGGCTTTGTTCATATGCACTTTGGAAGGAGGGTGGGCTTGCTGGTTAGGTTGGTTTATTTTCCCTTTTCTTTAAAAAAAAAAATCATGATGCATAGCCATCAAATTCTGTTGCAGGGCACCCAAGGGGCTCCCAGGAGACACTTGTGGACTTCCTTTTATCACCAGCCCTTCCTTCCCTTGAGAGGATAACTTAGTGAGGTTTAAGCAGGTTTTCATGAACATAGTAAGTGCCAGGAAACTCTGGCTCGGGCTATTTCAAATCTTCCCCTTTCAGAGTTTCACACCCTTCTTCCAGGGCACAAGGACAATACTGCAGGTATCTGCCTGACTAATAGAGATCACCGGAACTTCACTGTGGCTAATTTTTCAGTGGATGCATTGGCTGCCATTGGGTTTTCTGTTTGTTTTTGAATCTGAAATCAATTATTTGTCATGGGAAATGTTTTTTTGGGTGCACAACATTTGGAAAACATGTCTTAAAAAAGAGAAAATAAGGGTATTAATAAAGGGAAGCTTGGGGCATCATATTAAATGGTGCCACCACACTGCCTATAGGTAGTGTCTGGATGATTTCTTTAACCATTATTTCAGAACATCTTGGAACACTAATTTTTAAATAAATGCATGTTTATGATAATTTATTCCAAACTTTGAAAACGTTCTGTCATTACTTTCTTTTAAAATTATACTTAATTTGAGTGTGCTTCTGCACTGCTGTCTTATTTCATTTTTGTCTCCCTTTGAATTGGAGTGGAAGAAATGCTGAAATATTGTTGTGGTGGGCTTGAAATTCTTCAACCAGAACATACCAGAGTTTTCAGGAGAACAGAAACCCCTTTTGTCCTGAGCCATGGCAGAATACTTTTCTGCTGTCCAAATGTCTCCCTGGGGAGACATGTAAACAATTTTTGCTCACTAGCAACAAGGACTTACCTGGCAATTCCTGCCCTCTGTGTCCTCTTACCAGCTCCACTGAAGTTGCTGCTGCTAAAGCAAGCTCGAAGGAGCTCACACCCCTCTCAGACACGACCCAATGCTTTTCTTTCAGCCTCAAAATGAAATTGGCAGAGCAAGCAACAGACAGTTCCATGCTAATCACATGTTATAAATAGCCACAAAATAAGACAGCTAAGGAAAATGCACATGTTTTTTCTTATCTCTGGTTTATTCATTCTCCAAACACAGTTTTTCTCCAGGTGATACATGTGGTTTGAGCTTAGAAAACTTTTGATGTCAGCTTGGGAAACTATAGGGCATAAACTATATGACTTCAGACTCAATGATCTTAAAGGTCTTTTCCAACCTAAATGATTCTATGATTCTATTCCTGCCTGGTTTTGTTAGTAGACATTATATATGGAAATTTTTTCTTTCTTTTTTGGGGGGGGTGTGTATGTTCCACTGTGGTAAGCAGTAGCGAGGTGGAATGCTGAAATCCCAGCTCAAATGGGCTGGCTCACTGCGTAAAGGCATCAGATGAAGCTTGTTGAACTCAGACCCTCTCTTACATGAGGTCATTGTGTTGATTGTCTCAGCTGGTCAGCTGGTCAGCTTTGATGTGAGCTGCGATATTTCTATGATCTCAGCCTAGGGATAAACTGGCGGGCCTGGACTCAGCAAGCAGTGGTTAAGCATGAATATAAACAAAGCGGAGATCTGCTTTGTGCCAGTCAATGTCACTTTCAAGTGTACCCACAAACTCATAGAAAATTGATATCTTTGTTTATTGCAAATATGTAATGATACCAAAAGGAACAGTATTGCAGGCAAAACAATCTTTAGTGCTTACCAACTCACCTTAACTCCATGATTTCAGTCTGCTGAGTGGATCAGACAGCAACTCTATAAATACTGAAGGAAGGCTTTGAATGTATTGTCAGCTTCATTTCTTACAGATTTCTGCTCTACCTATATAAACCCCTCATTTTCATTTTTTTCCCTTGAGTAAGTCACTGAAGTCAACTTTATGGGGCATTAGATCATGTATCAAATGCATGTATATAACTGAGTAGACACTTCTTTTTTTTCATCCTCGTGGGTATTTATTTTGAAGGAAGCTATGTATAAACTATCAGCAGTTCTTAAATGACTGAAGCATTCTGCTGCTGCATTTTGGGGAGCAGATGGTTCATCTGCAAGTACTGAAGGATGGTATTCTATGTTTTATGTTTTCAAGCCAAGGGAAAGGAAAAATGTAAGCTTACATAAAAGATGGTGGCATGGAAGGAATTGCTTAAACGTTCCTAAGTACTGTCATCAGTAAATTATACCAAATTGGGCACATCAGAGGGAGTATGGAAGGCTTCTGTGGTGGTACAGAGGAAGGATTTTTTTAAAGACAGAGAGACGTATAAACTATTTTAGTAGTCAGTTTCAACAGTCAACCCTATTCCTTGGCCAAAGCCTAAACTGAGCATAAAGCCATAATCTTTGGAGAGGAGCTTGGTTTACTTCTCCGTGTCTCTGTGTACTGACCAGCATGTTCTAGCACTGCTTTGATGTTTAGCAATTGGGTTTATTTTTTAGTGTTTTGATTAAGCTTCATAAAGTCATGAAGATTCCCTTTGGGACTGCAGTTGTTGAAGAGTGAACTTAAAAGGTGGGCTCAATCTGAAACCTGCTGAAGCTGCTTCCCTGTGCATCCACCATAGGAGAAAAGACCTTTTGGGGAGCAATTCTTCCAAATGATCATGAAAAGCTATGGAGCTGTCAGTGCAACCCCAGTTGTCTGACAAGGCCAAATCAAGAAAGTTTTGAAATGGTGATGTGTTCACTGTAACAGGTAATGGGAACATTACCTCTGGTCTTCTTCAGGATGAGTCACACGCTTTTCCTCTTTTCTAATTCTGCAGAGACTTGGCACCTCTGTGTGATGAAATCCATATACTGGCTGTGGTTGCAGGGCTGAGCAAAACACAGAGCAGATGAAGAGATACAGGTCAGTATGTGCATCTAGAGCTGTTTGCCAAGATGACATGGATCCAGAGGAATGTTTGAATATCATCCAGAAATTGTCATTCCTGAATATACATCCACTGAGATGACCCTAGAGAATACACACCTGGTTTTCACTTAACCAATTGCAGAAGAGATACCAGCTCAAGAGTCCTGAGACACTGGAAAAATTCCAGTCAGGTCAAAGCTGTTGCTAAGATAACTAGAGATTTGGGGTACAATGGGATGTATTTTTATTTTTGTTCAAAAAAAAAAAAAAAGACTCTGCCCTAAGAAAGAGGGCAGAAAACATACAAAATTACTTCAGCTTTAGCATTTTGATGAACAGGCCACTTTGTGGGGTTTTTTTTCCACTGACTTATTTTTGTTTTTATCTGACATAAGCAATAGATAATTTTTAGAAGTGATTTCTGCAATGAATCATATTCCCTCCAAGCAGCAGGCCCTTTATGGAAGATGATGCTTATGAAGAGAAACCCTCTCTGATTTCTGAGATTAACAGTGCAAGATTGTGTCCTCCATACTGATTGACTTTAAACTGGGGAATAAAACTGTGTGTGCTTAAACAAAAACATTTCTACTCAGGTCCCTGGGAATATTCCCCTTCCTGGGACCTGTAATGGTAAAAAAGTATTTGATGTTTAGTCTAAAATTTTTGCTTTCTTAGTGTTGTCATTATTTCTAGCTGTTGCTCTTTTACTACCCTAAGTTGTTATTCTTCTGCTAGCTGTTTATTTCTAACAGATGCTTGTAGCCAGTTAACATATGTCCCCTCAGTCATTCCTCAGCTAAGCCTTACACACAGCAGTTATCCCTTTCGTTATTTTTTTCCCCCAGCTGAACCCCCTCTTCAGCTACTTACATTTTCTTTGATTTCTCATGGCTTCTAATATGTCTACATTTCTGCAGAGCTGACTGAAGTATCCTGGGAGTGGCAGTTCGGCTACTAAATAAATAAATAAGTAAATAAAAACACCGTATTTTTTTAATTAAAGCTATTTATTATTTTCAGCATGGTAGCTTGTGGGGCCTCATTGTTCTGGAAGGCTGCATAACTAAATGAGAGGCCATGCTCTATGGAGCTATTGCTTCTGTGAGGAACTTCTTCAAAAGGGAAAAAAAACCCCCAACAAACCAAACCCTACAACTTACTCTACAGACAGAATAGCTGCTGCCAAAATTGTCTTGGTACCTGTTGGCATTCAACAGGTGCTCAGTTATTTTTTCCATCCTCTCCAAAGTCTTTGCTAAATGAGTTTTCCATGAATTAATTCAGTAATCATAGGTATACTTGGGCTTCCCTCCACAGTTTGACTGTGACTGGACCCTCCACTTAGTTTAAAGCTCACAGTAGCTGGCAGCTTCTTGTTAAAACCAGTTGATGATGAACGTTGCTGCACTGAAGGTGCTGTGTGTGCTGAGGCGGACAGACCGTTCCCAGACCAAGTCTGAGTAGCAGTACAAATCAAGTTCTGTCTTCATGCCTGGAGACTTCCTTGGCAAGTCTAAGGAAGACATGGCATGGTGTGACCATGGGAAGAGCTCCTGGTGAGACCTGGAGCACTGTGAGTGTTCCTCTTCTTGCAGATAAGGATGGGAATGGTGGTTGTCCTTTTGGGAGGGCAACAAAACCAGCAAGAGCCATTTCCAGCTGGTATCCATTCTATGGCACTGCGTGCAGCTGCCCTGGTGGCTAGGAGGTCTGCTGAGATGGAGCAGGTGGTGGGGTTGTAGCTCTTTGTGTGACCTTGGAAGTGGTGCATGCAGGCATGGCTGGGTGAGCCCAACAGAGAACTGTGAAGGGTCCCTGTGCAATGGGTGCAGTCAAGCTGAAGCCACTTGGGACCGACTTCCGTTTCTTCCTTTTGTGGCTGTGCTCACATGTGAAAAAGGTGACATGGAGATCTGAGGAAGAACGGACCATAGATGAAAGCAACAATTGGGCTTAAAGAGACTAAAAGAAAATACAAATAAATATCCAGCGTATTGGAAAACCCCCAGATAAGACACTGTCCAAGAACAAACAAGGGATGATTTCTTCTCTCACTAACATCAATTACACATATGTGGATAAGCATCACAGTCAGCAGCAGCCTCACTGTTATCCACAGGGTCACTAGAGGAAAAAACCTCTTGGGTGACCCTTCCAAGCACTCAGCTAGGTTTTGTTCTCCAAATGTACCTAGAGGAATGATCTGTGATACCCTTAATGTAGGAATTGTGCAGTCTCCATGTAAAACATACTTTTCCAAGAGTTTAAAGGTTGCTATTGAGCAGCTCCTGTTACCTGCAGTTATTTCCTCTGATGGGAAGAGCGAGGTGGGCATTCATACACAAGTAGCACTGCTATTTCAGCATTAAGTCAGGAAAGGCCCAGGAGAATATTGAGAAGCAAGGCTGCAATTTTCTCCAGCATTTTGCTGTCTCCCTTCATTGCACGTCTGGGAGAAGTAAATAAGATGATGCGTTTATACTGAAAATGTTTTTGGCAAAGTTGGAATCTCTCAACTGCAGTTGCCGGAGGTAGACATGATGCTTCACATTTCTGCTCTACTGCATACGCAGGGCTCTATCTGCCTTCAGTCCCAGCACCGCTTCGGCCCTCAGATCATTAGGTTCATTTTGTTCAGCCTTCAGCAATGTGGCTCCCAGATGTGTTTTCCGGTATTTCGTTTATAACTGTGAGGAATCTACACCATCCCGTCACCCCTGTGTCTGTCTTTTTTTTCTCTTGGCATTGAAGTTCTTTGAACAGGACATACCTATTAACATCCGTCAAAAAAAATGAAATAAAACCAAAAAGTCCTGTCAGGTTTTCATTCTCGCTAGGAGGATCTTTAAGGTAGAACTTAAAAACAAGGTTTTTTTTAGAAATATTTGCTGGTGAAGCTTTGGTGTTTTTTGTTCGCCACTTTGCTAAAGCAGTTTTCAGCTGAAATCTTACATTCACACGCAGTGTACCGTTTCAGTACTCAACTTTGTGAGTATCGGTGCTGTAGCTATGACAGTTTTGGGATGTAAATGTTTTTTTTATTATACTAACTTACGAAGTTGAGAAAATAAATGAGCTAGAGGAAGACTTGTATGCCCGAAAGCTTGTCTGCTTTCACCAGCTATATGGACTTGAAAGATATTATCTCTCTTACAAATCTTGCCTTCCTTTGTAAGCATGTGGTCGGATAATTATCTTCAACTATTGTTTGGATAAATGGTTTCTAAATAATTTGGGCACAAAAATTGCTAAATTGTCTAGAGATGATTTCTTAAAAGAAGTGATTTTCTCTCTATTTCACAGACACACAAAAATGGTTTTTGCCATATGTATTTCTAGGCCAATTTTTAAAGCACATGGAATGATTTGTTCTTATAAATTTTCACATGCATAGCAAAAAATGCAGGCAGTTTTTGTCTAAGTCATTTTGAAAAGGTGTCACTATGTCTGACTTCAAAGTGCGTGGTAAATCCAGATCAGAAAGGCAATGAATTTGAAATATTAAATTATGCATCTCAGAGCACTGGGGAAAATTAAAAAGGGAGGCTGACTAGAAGATCAGAAAAACATAGCTCAAGCGGGACTGTGGGAGTTTGAGTTACTTTCTTTTTTAAATTGATTTTGTTTCACGGGATCTTCCTACACCTCCTGCTACAGCGAGAAAATAGCTTCAGCACACTTTGGTTTTGCAGGCTTTGCGTTTGCAGACTCACCAGCTGGATCCTGAAGGAGGTTCATGAACTTCACAGCAAACAGCTAGTCTTCCCTTCACATAGTTTTAATTGCAGTATCTAAAAATTAGTCTAAAGCAGTAGTACTCTAAAGCATAGGGTATACCACCTCTTCCAAAGGAATTGCTGTTAATGATGATAATGTCGTGTATTTTCCATATACACATTCCAGTATTTGAATCCTGATTATGCGTCAGCCTCTCCAGCTTTTGGGACAGTGTATGCCTCATTTTAATCCTGTGCTTTATGGTGAAGCACTGTGTTTAGCTGCTTTGGATATTTAGCTGTGCTTTATTGCACTGACTGTAGAGCCCAGGACAGAATGAAGAAAGGCCCCATCCATTCTTCTCAGATATATATACTTCCATCAAATCCCAGACTACCCGTCACCTTTCTAATGTTAGTGATTCCAGGATTTACAAACTCGCATGCCAGGAGGAGCTTTGCCTCCTGGCTAGTCCTACCTCTGCTCTGCAATGCCTCTGCTGAGGTGATTATTCCTCCCCACATTTCCTTTGCTCTTGGCTGCCACTGAACGAGAGGCTTTCTCCAAGCTCCCTGTCATGTCTCGTGCTCTCTTTCCTTGAACCGAAACAGTTGTCAGGACCCTGCCAGGTATAAGACCAGGTTATATTTTATTTTTTTGCATTTCTAAAGGGTGTTTTTTCTGTTTTACATTTGGGTTTACCATTTTGTTTCTGGTTTTCTTGATGTCATAGTCAGCTGTGGCCTGGACCGAGCTCTAAATAACCAAATCATTTATCAGTGCTGGCTGGTTTCTTCCACACCTTTTTACAGATATCACAACATATTTATTAAGCAGTGCACCCTTTCAAGGCTCTGGCTGATGACTGCTGCATAGAGAATTCATTACTGATCCTAGCCTTTGTTTTCTAGCCTGTTTCTGATCTAGCAGCAATTCTCTGCCTTTATCCCCATAAGTATGTAACTTTTGTATGGCTCCTTGAAGAGATATTTCAGGTCCTGCCCCTCCAGGGCAGGACCCCAATCACCTTCAGGGGGGATAACTTTTTAGGCCCACCAGTATGACCACCAATATGAAGTGTTGTCTTCAAAAAGGCTGGAAATCCAACAGTTGTAGCTATAGACTTGCCTAGTGGTGTGCTGAAAAACACGTACAAAAGCTTGCTAAAAAAAAAAAAAGTCAAAAATTCAGTTTCTGATTAAAAAACAATGCTGCATGAAGTATTGCATTCCCCTAGGAAATACAGAACCCCATTTCTGAAGCATTTCATGATTT